CCTCATTATTCCTCTTTGCTTTCCTTATCTCGGTTTTTAACCCTCTTTCGCCCAATACCCTATAATAGTCGGTGAATTTAAGCCACGATTTATGTACCTATAGCCTTCCTTTGGCCAATGATGTTCTTTAAATAATTATTTATCCATTTAGGGTCATTGTTGTCTGATCTGATTTTTTTGTATGGTATGTTCTGCCTTTTGTCCATTAAATGTCACTATTTAAGTGTCGTGGAACTCGGCAATCTCAGATCTCGTTATCAGGTCCGAGTCATTTGTCAGGTTCCTGGCCAAGAGCCACACTCCCTCTCTCAGCTGCCTCTTTAAACTGTCAAAGTTTGCCCTTCTGAAATCTGGTACTTTAGTGGAATTTTCCTTACGTCTGCCCTGAAAATCTAACTGGAATCGAATTTCTTTGTGATGGCTGTTTGCAAGTTCGTTCCCTACCTCGACATTGCTAATGAGGTTTTCTCTGTTTGACAGAACTAAATCCAGTATATTATTACCCCGTGTGGGTTCGGTTATATGTTGACTTAGGAAACAGTCCTGGATCGTCTCGAGAAAATCCTCTGATTCTGAGTTACCCGTAAGGACAGTCCAATCTATTTGGCCAAGGTTAAAGTCGCCTACTATACAGACTTTGTTGTGTATGGAAGCCCTGCGCATTTCATCCCAGATAAGTCGCTCATTGGCTATCAAGATTGGGGGGTCTATATATTACTCCTGTGATTAATTTTTCCCGACCGTCGCTTAATTCTATCCAAATTGTTTCTGTATTCCTCTCAGTTTTTATTTCCTTATTTATTTCACACTTCAGATTATCCCTAACATAGATTGCTACTCCGCCTCCTTTCCTGGTCTGCCTATCGGTATGGAACAGTTTGTAACCCGCAATTTGGTATTCGACTGGTAATTCACGTGTGTCTAGGTTGATCCATGTTTCAGTGAATGCAATTATATCGATTTCTTCGGTACATACCAAGGCCTTAATATCATCCATTTTGTTTCTCATACTTCTACTGTTCGCGTAGTATACATTTAAGTTAGTCGTGTTCTGAGTCCTCCCCTTACCGCGTTTAGTTTTAAACTCCCTGTCTAATTTAGTTTTGTCATCATTCCTAACACTATTTCCCTGTAATCTTTCGCCTTGTTTACCCGCTCCCACTGCAGTCTCCTCCACCCCCGTGCCCATATGTTCTCTTAGCAGTTTAAAGACTTCGATATCTTTTGAACTGCCCCCTCTAGAGCCCCAGCCAGGGTTGCTACTCCATCCCTAGACAGGTGCACCCCATCCCTAGCATAAAGGTCCCTTCTGCCATAGAAGTTGTCCCAGTTGTCAATGAATGGGACTGATATTGACTTGCAATATCTGTCAAGACGGTCGTTAACACCAACTGCCCTTGACAACCATTCACTGCCAACTCTCCTTCTAGGCAGGACACAGCATATGATAGGGATCCCTCCCTTAGTCCTAATACGATCTATAGCTGCCTTGAACTTACCAAGAAGTTCCTCGCTCCTACACCGGCCAATATCATTGCCTCCTGCACTGAGGCAGATAATGGGTTTGTTCCCATTACCAGACAAGATATTGTCCATCCTCTCAATTATATCCCCCACCCCAGCTCCTGGCAAACACACCCTCATCCTATTTTTGTTTTTACCTTCCTTGTCATCCCTGCCCCTGACTGTACTAACGTCCAATTCGTCTATCAAGGGACTGAACGGGTTGGTACACTTAGCTGTTGTTGTCGTTGTTGTCGTATCCTTCGTGTGCTTCTTCACCACCAGCTTTGTCTTCCCACTACTCACAATTTTCCACTCGCTTGATTTTTCGTCAGACACTGGCTTTACTCGTCCAGCCTCTCCTTTTAACTTCGCCAGCTCTTTCCTTAATTTCAGGTTCTCCAACGTGGCCCTCTCAATTTCTAGCTTGGCCCTCGCCAATTCTTCAGTGGACCACTCCAGTTTGGTCAACAAACTCTCATACCCAAGACCGCACATATCACTGGCCATATCTGTTAATTATCCCTCCAGAGCTAACCCTACCGTGACCTTTCCCCTAGTGAGGTCAGAACACAACTGAGGTCAGAACACAACTGACTAATTTATTCCTTATAAACACATATTGCATCCAATCACAATACAAAAAGAGGTGGCCTTCATCAGAAGAACCACTATTATGCTCATTACACTTCACATCAATATACAGTATGTCCTTCATCAAATAACTACTATTATCATCTTCATTCTTCATAACAACCAATGACCTCCTTTCCTCGGTCATTCTTTCTTACCATAACATCAGACTGCACCACATGTTAGAGTATAACAACACATGTTATAACACCACATCTCTTATACACTCCACATCTACCAGTATGGAACTCCTTGGTATTCTTAGGTTTACATACCAGGTACCTCGTCACACTCTACTCTTGCTGGGTAGATGGGATTATTCCCAAGTAATCATACCAGCACTGGTTCCACGCCTGGTATTATTAAGTCGCTCCACGTACCTACCGCGAAACTTCTCAAACATACAATTATTTTTTCCTATCTTGGGTGGTGATATGTAGGGTATCCACAGATTCACAGTTGAGGTGCATCGTGGCCATAAGCAGACACACCACATATGGTGAGTTCCTCACAGTGGTGGTAATGGCCGACACTCTGGCTGCGTGCGTACCTGTTTTGGTGAGAGAGTGGGCGTCACTAAGCAAGGCCTGATGGGCTTTTATCACCACACATACACAACTGCAACTATTGCTTCACTTTATATTATGAGGCATGGTTTTAAGATGTAAAAAACTGCTAGGTAAGTCAATTTAGGGCTGAATGGAGTACGATGGAGTTCACTGACCTGTTTTGGTGAGAGAGCGGGCGTCATTAAGGAAGATGGCTCGCGTCTCTCACTGAACTAGGCCTACAGTTTCCAATCTTTAATTTTCACTTTGATATTATTCTGGTTCTCACATATACACTTTCATATCTATTGTGACCTTATGCTTTATAATTATATGTCTCAATCCTAAATTACATACTAAAGTAAGGATGTGGTTTGCCACTTCCTGGAGACATTAATTGGGCTATATCATTAACTCAAAACGTTTAAGTCTCCTTAAGTTCTGTTTTATGTATTAAGGTACTGTACTCGCGAACTGTTAAGATATGTCGAATGTATGTGCACTGCCGCGTTAGTGCTTTTGCCTATTATTCCGCATAATATGAATCCTTGGAGGGGGAAGGCTATGTACTGCGCACCTCATTGTCATTCCTAAAAACCCGTTTAAATTCATATTACGCTACATAATATTCAAATCCACCGCGCTTGTAGAATCTCAGGTGAGACGTGTATTTCCCACCTGTTTTACCCTCAGGACCACTCTCAGTAAGCCCAGCTTTCGAACACAGTTGTCACTACGTTTATTGCACTCTCTACTGGCAAACGCAACCTTGAATTAGTCTGTGTAAATCAACTTTAGTAATTCGCCAGACCTTTGTCAACTGAGGGTCATCTTTGAATGAGTAAAAGTTAGTTTGTTTGTGATTATTGTCATTGCGTGAGTAGCGATCACTGGCAACTCAGGGGTATATAAGCTCGAGATGGCGAGGAAGCGCGTCCCCTGACGCTGATTCCCGTTTGTCTCCAGGTATGTTCTGTGTTTCCTAGCCAGTCAGTTAATTCAGTCAATTGTAGTGATTATCAGTGTTCACCAGTGTTCATGATTTAACAGTTGAATTGTCATTCACCCAGTGTAGAAGTAATTTCATACTCGAGTCTCTGCTACCTATACCTGCAACAACTTATCAATTCTTATTTCCGTACAATATAGTATGGGGAACATTCCCGCAACAGTTCATCAGCATAATACCTCAACATATTTTGGCACTAACACATAAACAGTGACTCTGACATTACAGATACAACAAAGTACTCTGCATGAAATTACATATACTCTGGAATTTAAATTCTTGTCTATGAATAGGAAATTAGTTACATCAGACACTTCCTCAGATTACTACTTCATTTCAATAATAATTCACCTTTTCAACACAAAACCATGGTTCTAGACATACACATTGGGGTTCATAACACAAGACACGTATTTCCTATCTCACAGTTCAGAAAAACTGGTATTTGAAAGTCGGGGTGACTCCCTCACTCGGAGTGAGTCAACAACCCAAAAAAAATTCTGACACACACAACTGAGATTTTTCTTTTCGACAACATAGGCAGCAACTGGATTTCCGGACTTCAGTTCGTAAGAACTGGGATTTATAATGTTGGGGTGACTTCAGTACGACTGACGAAGTCAACAACCCCAAAAAAAATTCTGACACACATAACTGAGATTTTTCCTTTCGACAACATAGGCAGCAACTGGATTTCCGGACTTCAGTTCGTAGGAACTGGGATTTATAATGTTGGGGTGACTTCAGTACGACTGACGAAGTCAACAACCCAAAAAAAAAATTCTGAGACACATAACTGAGTCATGCTCACAAAAAAAAATCAGTGGTAATATGGTAATACTTTACGAGACTGTCCCTTCGGTACTCAACAAGTATTGAATGACTTTTCAATTGCCATGATTTTAACACTAATCACTTCACAATGTACTCTGTTGTACTCACACTTGGGAGTCCTTACATGTATTTTCTACAATAAATTTTCAAAGATTGCATTCTTTCACAGATGTCCATATCACCACAGAGTCCTCAACCCCTCAAAGCAATTGCTGAAATTATACATGTATTAGCTCTCATCTAAACATAAAACACACTTACTGACCATGCCAGTCAGTCTACACTGCTAGAACTAATGCCCTTTGCACTAAAAATCATACTAATAGAAACAATACAAAAAATACAAAATACTCAGGGACCTAACACAACACAGGTTATACAAATAAATTCACTTGCCCAATTCTGACCTCAACGTATAACTAAAACACTTCCAATTAAAATTAAAACAACTACACCCATATTATGTCAATTACAAATAACACTGTTACATAACCTTAATATAATTATGGCCTTCCGGTACACTCAGAAATCGACACTGTCCACGACACTCGTAACACGGCACATGATCAATGTCCCTCATTGTCTGTAAATAACCAAGTATTAACTCAGGTGATCACAACAATTGCTATGGTACCAGTGCAGAAAGGCACCCAAAAAAAATTTACCTTGGCATACAACCAACACTTTTCTGAGATTTCACAAAAGACTGCAAAAAAAAATTAGGTAGCTAACCTCTGTTTTCAGACATTTTCAGACACTTTTCAATCCATTTTACTGTGCACTTTACTTTAAAGCAGATTTCTAATTTTCTCGAGACCCATGTTCTAACCTAACTCCAAATAAAGTATTTGCCGTGAACTGTTTTCAACATCTCCGTAACCTCAAAAAAATTTTTGCACAGAATTACACTATACTGTACACTGGAAAAAATTTCCATTACAAGATTATTAGCACTCTGAAATATTCATTAGCCACAGTGACATGGTTAGGTAGATGCACGGAGAAATGGTTATTACAGCTCACATTTAAACACAAAAATTACCCACAGTATCACATTTATTCCTCCTGACCTTGATACCATGTAAATTACATCATTTCCGTGCCACCTGTGTAAGGGGGCGGGTTTTTTTTTCCAACACCTACACCACCCTTACCTTACTCCTCTATTATTGTTCTTTTTCTGCAACCTAAATCACAGCTTCAATTCCCTCGGATTTGATCAATGATTAAAACCATCCCACCGCTATAGCCACCAATTTATACTGCCAGATTCTGGGGTCACTAAATTTAAGGGGATAACTTAACTCTAATCTTAATTTCTAAGGGTCGCTGCCACCAGACCCCCTCTGGACAGTATGTCGCTCGTTAGGTAGCGGGCAGAGTGGACTAGGCATTGGGTTAGGTTTTCCATTGACCAGATCGATAAGGGTAAAGAAGGGTGAAACCATAACATGTCTTAATTGATTTATTTCTTATAAAACACACTGGTAAAAACACATACAACCACACTATGGACCATAATTCCAAGGCCTGTCCCAGGGTATAGCACTGGCGCCTCTAACAACTGTTGTTGTGGTCGGTTACACTCCGACCCGAGATGGGTTTGGGGTCCCCGGCCCACGAGGTAGAGTAGAGCCGATTAATCATGACGAATCAGCGCCATCACTCCTATATTGACCTCTGTTGGGTATCCACCGGCTCCGAACTACCGGTGGGTTTCAATTAAGCCCACCCTCGACCTGGAGACAAACGGGAATCAGCGTCAGGGGGGAAGAGAAACATGACAACACCAACAAACTCTCTTGTCTAGACGACAGACGTATTTACGTTATATTACTTCTACACTGGGTGAATGACAATTCAACTGTTAAATCATGAACACTGGTGAACACTGATAATCACTACAATTGACTGAATTAACTGACTGGCTAGGAAACACAGAACATACCTGGAGACAAACGGGAATCAGCGTCAGGGGACGCGCTTCCTCGCCATCTCGAGCTTATATACCCCTGAGTTGCCAGTGATCGCTACTCACGCAATGACAATAATCACAAACTCACTGTTACTCCTTCAAAGATGACCCTCAGTTGACAAAGGTCTGGCGAATTACTAAAGTTGATTTACACAGACTAATTCAAGGTTGCGTTTGCCAGTAGAGAGTGCAATAAACGTAGTGACAACTGTGTTCGAAAGCCGGGCTTACTGAGAGTGGTCCTGAGGGTAAAACAGGTGGGAAATACACGTCTCGCCTGAGATTCTACAAGCGCGGTGGATTTGAATATTATGTAGCGTAATATGAATTAAAACGGGTTTTTAGGAATGACAATGAGGTGCGCAGTACACTGACAATGACTCGCATGTGATCTGAGGGGGGCCAGTAGGTCCTGTTGAAGGGAGTGCTGGATTATGTCTCCAGTGGGAGACTCTGCTAGCGGGAGATGCGGTGTTGGGGAGGGAAGTCTTCTTCTGCGGATGAGCTGTTGGCTCCCTCCCTATTTCAATGATGCTCCGAATGCTAACTGACCCTGAATGTGAATGGTCGCGAGGAAGGAGCTGCAGGGCCTATATACTGGCTGTCACCAGCCGGCAGGTGACCTCTCCCAATTAACACTAGACTGGGTGTGTCTAGACAGGTGTACTGGCTGGAGGGATTACTTCTTGTGTCACACGTTTATGTCGCAGGGTTCAGCTAATCGCGTGGCAGTAAGAACTCTGGGTCAATGTGACTAACCTCTCTTAGGTCAGGTCTGGACAGCTGTGTTTGCCCAGGTGTGGTTTCTTGAGTAACACGGTCATATCACAGGGTTAACTCGAGTACTTGTGGCCGTCAGTTCACCTGGGTCAGGTCTTATTCTCACTGTAGGGTGTGTCAACTTACTTTTATATGTGTTGTATTTCTCTGGGCTGTAAGCTGTGGTCTGATAAACAATCATTACAGCAGATGAAATCTGTGCCTCTTCCCAAATTCTACGCCTCTCTTAATACCTGTGTATTTCCAAAACTAAAGGCTCATGCATAAAGAATGTTTGTGCTGTTTGGATCTACATATATATGTGAGAAGACATTTTCGGGAATGAAGCTGAATATATAAAAACTTGTATCTGCAATGACTGATGATCACCTTAAACAAGTACTTTTCATTGCAACAAAGGAGGCAACACCTGGCTTCAATGATCTGGTTGGCAATCAACAGAGCTATCATTCATCCCACTGTGTAAGTTAAATATGCTTATCAACATATGAACAACTTCAAATATTACATAATTAGATATTGGTCTTTTGACTTACTTTTTAAAATTGTTTTTACCATTAAAACTTAATTTTATTACTTTTTATTTATCAAGAAGAAACAATAAGTATTAAATTGTATTAATTTTATTAATCAAGCAGAGTGTAGCAGCGATAGCGTGGATCAGGGACAGCTGTGTTGTGTTTTGACCTCACTAGAGGAAAGGTCACGGCAGGCTTAGCTCCAGGGAATTAATTGTCAGTAATGGCTAGTGCTACTTGTGAAATGGGCTGAGTCCTTCTGAGGGCCGAGTTAAAGAGGACCAAGGAAGAAATCTTGAAATTAGAGGAAGTGATAGTGAGGATGAAGGAAGAAACGAGACAAGGAAAGCCCGTGTCTGACGAAAACTCAGGCGAATGGAAGGTTGTGAGGAGAGTGACCACTAAACTGGTGGTGAAAGAACACACCAAGGATACGACAACAACAACTAAGTGTACCAACTCTTTCAGTCATTTCACAGAAGGTACGAAAACCTCAATTGTTGGCGATTCCCAGGTACGGTACCTGGATAGAGCTTTTTGTGGTAAAAATAAAAATAGGATGAGGGTTTGTTTACCAGGAGCTGGAGTGGGCGGTATAGTTGACAGTATGAACAATATCTTGTCTGGTAATAGGAACAAACATAACATCTGCCTCAGTGCAGGAGGCAATGATATTTGACGGTGTAGGGGTGAGGAGCTCCTTGATAAATTCAAGTCCGCTATAGAACGTATTAGGGTGAAGGGAGGTATAATGAGACAAATATGATCAGACAATTACATATATATGTATATATATATAAAGGAGAATATTAGAGAGTAAGCATGTAAAGATAGGAACTTGGTAGCGTGGCCGCTTGTTATTTACACTGCGTCAATATGCTTATCTTATCTCGTATGTCAATACACATATATTACGTTCTTAAAGGGACAACTTGTTAAACACCTCTTCGACACAACTATTTATTAATTCACTTAATGACATGGACACATCAATATCACTATTATATCGGGGTATTAACACGTTAGGTCTAACGTTACTCGACATTGACTCTCGGATACAACATGAATGAATTACACTTCCCACAGTAGGTAATTCACCCTAGGAATAGTTCTGACAAGACTCACGTGTACCCTGACGTAGGCCCAGTGGATGCTTGGCTGGGCTGCCGTATGCGATGCTCTCCTTAGTTGGTGACGTCGTGAAGTCTCCCACCCCCCGACCTGAGGGGGAGGGGATGAGCGTGACTCTGTGCGAGTGACCAGAATGACTCTCAATGATCAACCTCTCTGAATGATAGTCGTGTGAGAATCACGATGAGAATCGGAATCAGAATGATAGTGGACGGGCTTGTAGGGATTTTATATGGGGTCGGCCCAACCGGCTTTTGACCTCTAACCAATTATCACTAAACTGGTTAGATCCGGATAGCTGTGTGCAGGTGTGGTCATGCCCAGGTGTCTTGGTCAGGTGAGTTGTAGGTCAAGCCCCGCTAATTCAAGTTATTAGTGGCGAGGTCGGGTTCCTGGGGTCTTGAGGTGTGTCTACCTGGAATGTGGTGGTACCACGAAGTCTCTAGCGTACTTGCTGTTATATGTGACGTAATTCTGGGCTGTAAGCTCTGGATTGACAAACAATCATTACAGAGGGATCCCTATAATATGTGGTGTCCTACCTAGAAGGAGAGTTGTCAATGAATGGTTGTCAAGAGCAGTTGGTGTCAGCGGCCGTTTTGACAGTTATTGCAAGTCAATATCAGTCCCATTCATTGACAACTGGGACAACTTTTACGGCAGAAGGGACCTTTATGCTAGGGATGGGGTACATCTGTCTAGGGCTGGGGTGACAGCCTTTGCTGGCTCTCTCGAGAGGGCAGTTCAAAAGATGTCTAAGTCCTTAAACTGCCAGGGGAACATATGAGCACGAGGGTGGAGGAGACTGCAGTGGGAGATGGTAAACAAAGTGAAATGTTACAGAGAAATAGTGCTAGGGATGATAACAAAACTATATTAGGCAGGGAGTTAAAACCTAAACGTGTCAAAGGGAAAACTTAGACCACGACTCGCTTAAATGTCTACTACTCAAACAGTATGAGTATGAGTGTTACCGCCACAGTAAGATAAACTAGAAGAGAGAGAGAAAGAGAGGGATAGCCATAGTAAGATAAACTAGACGAAAGAGAGGGTGAGAGGAGAGACAGTGTTGACAACGAACTT